ATTATGCCCCCGTTCCCTACTGCTGATATTGCAGGATAGTTAACACCTGTTAATGTTAGTTTTCAATTATTTTAGGATTGGGATTGGAAGGAAGTGTTCAGACTTGGGCAACCATTTCAAATAAGCTTAGTTTTAGATGGAACAGATATACTTAATGTAGGATATAAGCACATTATAATTTGCTATCATCTATGTATGTATGTTGTATATGTTTGAACTTTGTATCAAATCTAAATCTTTTATTTAGACTAAAAGGGGAATTGTAGGGGAAACCTCACATACCCAAGATACTGTCCACACCCCTTTGGGAGTGGACATGAGTATGTGAGACAGGTGAGATATAAAAGGAGAAGATAAAGCCAGTCTCTCTCTCTTGGATGCTGGTCACATTTCTGAGAGCTCATCTTCACAGCTTCTCATGTAAGTGATTGCTCCTGTTAATAAATATCCTTATTTCTTCATTGCATTGTTTCATCTTCAATATGACATGTACTTAACTTTAGTAAAGATGGGTGCCAACTATGATAAATATATATAACAAGAGTTCAATTTATATGTATATATATAGTAAGTAGATCTATTTTTTGAATAAGAGTTGAATCACATATATTAAATTAAGATTCAACTTTTTGTTACAGGTTTTAAGGTAATTTTTTGTTACAGATTTTATAGGTTTTAAACCATGCCCAATGAACTTACCAATCCTGAGGTAGTGTTTACAGTATAATCTTAAGAGAAATTTTTAGAGCAAAATGTAGAGAAGTTTTGGAGATAAAGAAGTTGAGAAAATATAAAGATTAAGTGTAGATATAAGAGGTATTGTGATCAGTTGTTTGTGCAGTAGCATATGAGAGAATTCAATAATGCTGAGGCCATACTGCTTGTAGTAACAAAATCTGTGTCTGTGGAAGAAGAGAGTAAGAATTGAAAAACAAAATTCTGCTGGAGGGAATTTCTATAAGCTCCAAGAGGAAGCTGAGAGAAAGTGTCTGTGTCCGAAGCACAGAGAAGCTTCAAGGGGAGGAGATGCCTAGGATTTTGTAAAGAAGAGACTGAGCAGGCATCTCTGAGGAGGAAGTGTAACACAAGCAATTAATGAACCAGAGACAGATATTGGGGTTCAAACTTCAAACTGAAGACTAGGAAAGAAAAGTAGCAGGCCACTAGCTCTTACTGCCTCCTCAGACTGAATGGGCTGATCCTGTTTCCTCCCTTCAGCACAGCTGGGGAATCCAGAGACTGAATGCCTTCTTATCCTCTGTGTGACTCGAGAATGAATCCTCTCCTCAGTGTGGCTGGAGAATGAATCCTCAACACTGACCTTGCTCCTGTCTTATATACCTCCCTAATCCTGGGATTAGAGGCATGTGATTCTAGGTGCCAATATCATCTTTGTGTCATCTGTTTCTCTTTAGGATTAGATCACTCTTATGTAGATAGATCTGGGTGGTCCTGGTCTCACAGAGATCTGTCTATCTCTTAATCCTGAGTCCTAGGATTAAAGGTGTGTGCCTGGCTTCTCTGGATTGTGTCTGACTTTGCTTTTTGAATCCTCAGGCAAGCTTTAATAAGTCATAAATAACATATCACCACAAGGAAGAAAGAACTTTAGTAGGAATCTGAGACATGAAGCTGTAGGACTTCAGGAGCTGAGAGACAAGAAAATCGGGTCACACAGGCCTGGACAGGATTCAGGAAGCTGCAGAATTTCAGCCAGCTGCTAGTGAGAGGAGAGGAAAAGGATTGGAATATATTATAACAGGGAACTGAGAGAAGATAAGGTCACAAAGTATCATAGGAGACAAAAATGTAAAGAAGTGCCTGGAAAAACGAAGGGATCATAAGTGAGAGGCAGGATCAGAGCTAGAGAGATGGCAGACAAGGTTGTAATTCCTAGAGGGAAAACATGAAGAAAGACAGAATAGGGAACTCCAAGTCAGAAGAAGCAAGGAAGGAAAGGGATTCCAGGCTGCTGCAGGGAGGATTTCAGCTCCTGATGGGAAATGAGAGAAAGCTAGAGAGAGACAAGAGGGCAAGGGAAAAGGGTGTAGAAGGTAAGATGCATAACAGGTTATGGGAGCCAGAGACAGGTGTGCAGAGTGTAGAGCTGTCCACATGGAGGACATAGCAGGCTAGAGGAGATACATGGAAGGAGCAGCTACAGCATTTGGAATTAAATATTGGGGGTAGCAGAAGCCAAAAGAAACAAATGGTCTGTATGTACTTTAGGAGAGTCAATTCAGCAGCTTGGTTCAGAGAGGCCATGTTCTTGAAGATAAAAGGGAGACAGTATGGTCAGAGTCAGAGGTATCTGGGAGACCCCAGAGTAAACATAAACCTAAGCCATGTGAGAAGACAGACTGGGGTTCAGAGAGGAAGCCACCAAGAGGGTGACTTGAGCCAAGAAGAGAGAGGCAGAGGTAAGGGAGAAGGGACTCAGGGGAGGTGTCTAATGAAGAGTGAGAGGAAAAGAGTAGGCAGGTTCAAAGATGAAAAGTTTGGTTTGAGTTCAGGTAGAGAGACCATGGTTGTGGTGGCAGCAGGATCCAGAGGTAAGCTCAAGCTGCAGACTGCTGAAGTGACACAGCCTGCACAGCTGTTGTAGGATCATAGAGCTGCATCGCCATGGCAGCAGTGGCAGTGACAAGGCTTTGATGACCAACAGGACAGGAGACTAGTGTAAGCAGAAGACTTGGAGTAGAGATAAACAAGGCACAGACATAGGGATTCTCTGAAGAGGGGAAGGGAGAAGAGTAAAAGGATCTCCCTCCACAATTCCATGCACCCACAAATGTAAAGGCTGCCACTTTGTTTGACTATGTGGGCGTGTATAAGGGCCATTCTTGAGTGCTAAAATGGACCAGCAATTTCTAGTGTGAGTTGGGTCTTCAGGAGACATCCCAGAGGAGAATCAGTCAGGATGAAGGGAGTAGAGTATGTCATTGCTAATGACAGTCAATGAGCCAAAGTTGAGAGCCATCTTTAAGGGTCTCAAGTTGCCAATAAGGAGATCTCTGGGATGGAGGGTTTGTTACCCAAGATACATCACCAAAAGAGGGAAGCAGTGGTCCAAGGACTGTCAACAGGATTTTCAGATGGTTAGGAATACAGAACGGCCACCAAAAGTAAAAGTAAAATCTCCAATCAAGCCAAACTGAATAAAATGTGTCTGACAGCTATCTGAGGGAGTCCACCACTGCCTCTGAAGGCCAGGGTGGAGTGCATACCCTCCATCCCCACAAGTACAGGGATATTAGACACTCAATGGTCATCACCTGATATCCTGAGAAATGTTTAGGATGCCAGTAAGGGACAACTCACAAATTAACTGCTGTTGAATGAAGGAAGCAAGTGCCAGATGTCCCAGAATGTTGAAGAACTGGATCAGGGGTCCTGTAGACCCATGTAAATCATTATCTGAGTTACAGAAACCAAATGAGGAAGCCACAGAGTCAGCACAGAGCACACTCAGACTCCAAGTTATTATCAGAATGGAGATTTTATTTCCACAAATGTAATGAGTGGAGGTGGAGTTGCCTCTTGATGGAGCAAAGACAGCAACAAGTGTCCCTGAAGGAGTCTGTATAAGGACAGAAGGGGGAAGTCTGGGTTAGGATGGGTTGGTAAATTCTAATTAGAAGTCAGTCAACATATCCAAAATGTCAAATTGACCCTGGTATTTTGAGAGCTGGACCATGGTGCTCAACCTCAGGAAAGAGTTAGGCGTAAGGAAGTTGCCAAATAGGGAAATATACTTTGGTGGCTAGCTTTAGGAATGTAATCCAATGGTTTAGCAAAGGAGAAGGAAAGAGGAGGGCAAACGCTGCTGGTGTAATATTTGCATTGCTTAGGTCTGTTAGAGAGCCCTTCATCAAGAACAGCTATTTCACCCAGCACTCTAGTGTCTCAGGTACTGTAACTTACTCATCTCCTTACTCGGGATCATTTTTCATGATGATCACTATATTGTCATTCAGCTTCCCTCTATATTTGTTAGATAAAATACAATGGTGACAAAACCTGGCACTACATAACTTAAACTCCCATTTAACATTTAAAGAGGCTAAAATATTCAAACTCAGAGTCAAGAGTTGGCCACAGCTATTAATATATTGATAAGCAACTTCAAGGAATTTTCATCACTTAATACTCATAAGTAGCTATTTTTCTTTTAATTTGCATGAGTTCATTTCTAATTTGTGATTTTGTGTTTATATTGGGCTTTGTGAATACTTGTTTATTTCCCTTACTTATTTATGCTTCATAGGTCCAATTTTATTAATTTGATGACCCATATATATGGGCCTCTGTGCATGGTGTGTGTGTGTGTGTGTGTGTGTGTGTGTGTGTGTGTGTGTTAAAGAATTGTGAACTTCTTAGATAGAAAGTGATCTTGGATAAAGATACTGGCATTCTTCAGGCCAAACGTAGAAGTTATCAAGTTTCTGAGAAAAATCTACTTTCTCCCTCATTATATTAGACTCTACAAAATAATACTTCATTTCACAAATACATTTTATAGGCACCTGATTTTTAAGTTGTCATTACTTTACGTTTCTATTTTTCACTAATATAGTGGTATTTTAACCAGTTTTAGTATTATGGAATTTAACTATTGTGTATGGAATGTTAAGAAGGACTCTGGAATAAAATCCCAAATTGAAGCCTTTAAAAATGGACTCATGCCTTTAATCCCAGCACTTGGGAGGCAGAGGCAGAGGCAGCCTGGTCTACAGAGCGAGTTCCAGGACAATGCAGAGAAACCCTGTCTCGAAAAACCAAAAAAATGGTGGGGGGGCGCTCAGAGAGGGAAATCTATTAGCTTTGTAAGGGATTGTAGAACCATTCTTCTGAATCATTGAAAGTATTATGTTCAGAGAGGGATTTGTACTTTTATTTCCTCCATTCACACACTAATTTCATAAGCAAATATTCCCACATAAGAGCTAAAACCCAGAATTGCCTCTGCAAAGCGGGCTACATATGTTTCTTTGTTGCAGAGATTCTCAGTGACAAGTGCGGGAAGCTGCCAAGGTTAAGGTGGAGCATAAAGAAATGCCTCACGGTAAACACCATGAAAATACAGGAAACAAGGAGGACATTACTTATGCAGAGGTGAAGATGACGAAATCTCCACAGATACAAAGAATACCTAAAGCCAAGCAGAGCCCTGTAATGCTAAGCGAAGAACAGTTAAACTATGCAGAACTGACATTCCAAAGAACACCTCAGCTCCTGCCCCCAAAACGGGTTGTCAGAGGAAAAAGAGAAGGTACAGTGATGTGTCCATTCTGCAACTGACAGGTTTCAGCAATAGGCTTTATATTGCAGCCTTCAATACCTGCAATGACCACTTTTAACTGACAATGTGACGCTACATAGAATCAATTGGGAAAAGTCTAACTAAGGGACTGTCCATATCAGATTGACCTGTGAGCTTGTCTGTAGTGAACTGTCTTGATGCCCTAACTGATGTGGGAAAACTGCATGCAACCAGGAGGTACCATTGCCAGGTCAGAACACTGGACTGTGTAATAGCAGAAGAGGCTAGGCAAGCACGAGGCATGCGTGGGTTCACGTCTCTATGCTCTTGACTGTGCATGTGGTCAGCTGCTTCAAGCTCCTGCACTGATGAAACTTCTGTGAACTATAAATTGGAATCATAAGATGAACAGGACCTTTTGACATCTAATGTAGCATATTTCATCACAGTAACATAATGAAAAGGAAACAACCATGCTAAATTAATCACAATGTATTAATTATACATCTTTGTAATCCCTCCAGCTAGTATAGGATACTACAGTAGAATAAAGTTTTCTTTAAATTTGTTCCTTTCAAGCATCATTGAAGCAGGTTACAACAGTTTAAAACCACAAGTGAAGGCTATTTTTAAAAATTCCAATCATCCTGAGTCAGCTAACCCAGGCCCAGAATGACAAACATGGTGTGTTCTCACTTAAATTATAAAGTAAAGGCTAACAATACTACAATCCACAGATCCATAGAGACTTAGTAATAAGGATGGCTCAAGGGGGCTTTTCAGATCTCCCTAGGAAGATGAAATAGAAGAAATTTCATGGATGGACTGAGGGCAGGTGGGGATGGGAACATGAGGGACCAGACCGCAGCGGGGGGGGTATAGGGCAAGAAACAGAATTAGAGTGAGGATTAAAAGAAACAACTATAAAACGGGGCATTTTTTGTCAGGCAGAAACCTGGCACAAGAGAAACTCCTAGGAATCTACAAGGATGCATGACCCCAGCTAAGACTCCCAGCAATAGCAGATATGTAGCCTGAGTTGGTCATCTCTTGTAACCAGATTGGTGACTACCCCAATTATCATCAGAGAGACTTCACCCAGCAACTGATGGAAACAGAGATTGAGACACACAGACAAACGTTAAACAGAGCTTGGAGCCTCCTGCTGAAGAGAGGGAGAAAGGATTGTAGGGGTCAAGCACATCACAAGAAAAGCAAAAGAATCATCTAACCTGGCCTCATAGGAGCTCACAGAATCTGGACAAACTACCAGGGTGCGTGCATGAGACTGAGAAGGCCCTCTGCACACATAGGACAATAGTGCAGCTTGGTCTTCTTGTGGGACTCCTCACAATGAAAGCAGGGTTGTCTCTCTTTTTCTAGGTTTTGGGACCCTATTCCTCATACTGTGTCACCTTACCCTGCCCTTAATACAAGGGGAGGTGCTTAGTCGTATTGCAAGTTCAGATACCGTTTTTGTTGATCCATATGAAGCCTGCCCGCTTCTGAACAGAAAAGTAGGGAGCCTGAATGGGGGAGGCAGAGCAGGAGCATGGAGCAGGGACTGGGAGGAAAACAGGGAGGGGAAACTGTGGTCAGGATGTAAAATAAATGAATAGATTTAAAATTTTTTAAATTCATTTTATTTTTCTCCTCCCCCATTTTTATGATACAGGGCTCTATTCTGTATCCGAGATAGGCTCGAACAGAAAGAAGTCCTTCTGCTTTAGGTTCCTAAAATGGTAGAAATACAGGTGTGACTTCGTCTTGACTTAAGGCCAGAGAGTGCAAGCCCACCCTTCCTCCTTCAAGGTTAAATAACAGGATATTTAGTCTAAGGTGTGGTCACTGGATGTCTTGTCTAAATAACAGAATACTTAGTTCAGGGTGTGGTTACTTGATGTTTCAGGTACTGAAGAGTTAATTCCATCTGTTTGTTCTCTGTATCATTGATAAGGAAGTCTTTTGCCTTTTCCCCCTTTTGTCTTTAGTATATAAGAACTTTGAACAATAAACTTGGGCAGATCATGGTAAAAAAAAAAAAGAAATACAGGTGTGAGCAAGCATGATTGGCTTCATCCCCTGCTATTGTGAAAATAGCTACTGATGTCACCTTCAATCAGTTCAGTCTAATTCAGTCCTAATGAGTCTGCTCTGGAGAAAGCCACCAGATTGAAAGAAATATCATACTTCAGTGTCACAGGAATAACAGATTGTAGGGAAATATTTTTATGATCTTTTGAGGGTAAATTTATAATGTTATATTTAACCAGGTAACAGAAATGTAATTATGAAGTTAAATGTAATTTTAAAAACAATCTATTTCTGTCTTTTGTTTCTTTATAGATGTGTGAGGGTGGAGAGAAAAATGATGATGAATGGATAGATAGAAAGAAAGAAAGAAAGAAAGAAAGAAAGAAAGAAAGAAAGAAAGATAGATAGATAGATAGATAGATAGATAGATGAAGATTGAGGGGGAGGAGTCTGTTCTCTCCTACCACCATGTTTTGAAATTAGAAGCAGGCTCCTTTTAGTTTCTGGAACCTACACCAAACTGGTCAGCTTGTGAGCTTCCAGTTGCCTATTCTCCTGTCTCCATCTGCTGGGCTAACAGATACAGATGCAAATGCACACTGCAGGCCTTTTCCCACGGGCTCCAAGGATGGAGCTCATGTTACCAGGCTTTCACTGAAAGTGCTTTTGTTCCTTTCAGTGATTAATCATCATTAACTGTTCCCACATTTAGAAAGACATTCATCACAGATGATTTACCCAGTAAAAGCCAGATGGTACATGGTATTTGAATATTTCTTGGTAGTTAAGGAGAAGATGTCCTCAAAGAAACTGGAGTTAGGAGACTAATGATCCCAAAGATGGGAGAATGACCACCAACCCAAATCATCATGACCATGTTCATTAAAACAATCTTTTTTATTTATTTACATGGACGGCCATACCCTGAGGTAGGGTTCAAGAGATCAGCATTGAATGTGAGGAAAACAGGTGATTGTTGTTTTTTTTTATAGGAGTAGGGGTTCCCAACTGGAGAATTTGGCAGGCAAAATAGGTGGGATAACAGAAACAGAACATAAGCATACATGTTAGCCCCTTGCTTTCAAGATGGACATAACAAGGTAGTCATGAGAATAGGTAGATGTAAGAAGATAGTCACAAGTGATCATATAACCTGTTGAAACAAAGGTAGGGTTGTAAGATGGTTATAAACAACTTTTTGAAACCAAGATATGACTTCCAATCATGAAAAAGTGAGTACTGGCCGATTTGTAGTTAAGGTTACAGGTGGGGCAGAGCCCAATCTTTGAGAAACAGATTTATTCATAAACAGGAACGGACGTAGTTTGTCTTTACTATAAGATGACTTTTAATCCTAAAATGGAGGCAGGCTGGTTGTTCACTATCTTCCTGAAAGTTAGAAACTCAGTCATTGTCATTGTTTCTCTTTCTTTTCAGGATCCAAAACAACAGTGTGGAGAATGGTAACAGGCATCCTTGTTGCCTTGTGTGTGGTGCTGATAACAACCATTGGGATCTTACTTCCAAAATGTAAGCAACTATGGGATTAATTCATTGCTGCAGCAGTTATGCTCTCAGCAATATTGTGAAAGCTTGACTGCCTATGGAGGCTATATTTCATAGCATCCAAGTGAATACATCCTAAACACTACTGACTACTGCCTCAAATTTTATCCTAGTATTATCTAGACAAGAAGAACAATGCAGAAAATGCTTACTTCATGACCATCTGTGTCCTAAGGAGGATAGTAAGTATTAACTCTAAGGATGTTGATAAGTATTAATACTATAGGGTTCACTTCCAGGTCTTTTCTTTAGTGGGACAAATGATCTTATTTCCACAAATGTTGATCAGTCATGATAGGCAGATGCAGTGTTGTTCATTGGGTCCCTTATGAGGGAAGACCTCACATGGCTTAAAACTAAGAAAGGAGAATCTGAAAAGCAAAATCCACAAAGACTAGAAGTATGTATGGGTTTTTAAAAATTATTATTAAGAGAAAAATGAAATTTAAATATGTTGAATACTAAATAAGAACTGCTCATTTTTCTATCACTTGAAGATAAAAATCAATGAAATAGAAAGAAATCCTAGGAAATACATACCAATTCGTGTTTCTTCCTAGTACACAGAATGAGGGTCCTTTAGAGAAAACAGTCCTGGTACACATTCTCATGAATTCTCCAATTATACTTATTAACAAGGGGAAAGAAAAACATTTCCTCAAGTGACTGTGTACAGGCCTTTCTAAGAATTTCTTCATAATAAATATTAACTGTTAGCATTCAAAACAGCTGTCAGTTGTCAACTTGACTACATCTGCAATTAACTAAAACCCAAAGAACTAGGCATATGTCTGGTCTGAGGTATTTCTCTTAATTAAATCACTTGAAATGAGAAGACACAACTTTAATCCAGATATTTTGAGATGGGAAGATCCACCTTTAATCTGGAGCACAACTTTTGGTGCCAGTATATATCAAGGACATGAAAGAAGGAAGTTTTTGCTCTTTGCCTGCTTGCCCTCACTCTTGCTGGCAAGTGCATCCCTCCACTGGCATTAGAGGCTACTCCTTCAGTATTTCTGTGTATACTGTAGATCAGCTGAGAAATCCAGCCTTATAGACTATTTTACTGGATCCTTAGTATTTCTGTTAGAAGGCAGTCAGTTTTGAGAAAAAACAATGGACCAGAGCCTGAAAGCCATTCTAATAAATTATACATATAAACATAGTTATCCTATCTGTTCTGTTCCTCTAGAGAATTCTAAGACAGAAGTAGTACAAGGTAGTGGTATATTACTGTGATAGACCTGACCATGCTGCTTCTTAGGAGGATGTAAAATTTGGGAATTTGGATTAGGAAAGCAGCTGAATGCCTTAAGGAGGGCTTAATGGGCCATGCTAATAGGAACATGGACAGTGGTGCTGAGTGAACAGTGGGGGTCAAGTACAAGAAGTCTCGGAGGGGCAGACTATTAGTAAGTGGCCTAGGAACCATTCCATGGTATTTGTGGGAAAAAACGTAGCTGCTTTCTGCCCTTGTGCTAAAATCTGCTGGGGACTAAATTGAAGAGTTTTAAATTAATGGCATTGGCAAAGCTTAATATTGACAGTGTCTTGCAGTTATTAGTAATCCGTCTTATGCAAATCTATAATGAAAAAAATAGCAAACCAGTAGGCAGCACCCATCCATTGCCTCTGCATCAGCTCCTGATTCCAGGTCCTTGCCCAGTTTGAGTTTCTGTCCTGACTTCCTTTGATGAGGAAAAGCGATATGAAATTATAAACCAAATAAATCCTTAGTTTCCATGTTGTTGTGGTCTGAATATTTCATCACAACAATAGTAATCCTGATTAAGACAAGGTATTGTTTCATCATGCCATGGGACATGACTTAACAATAAATGTAGTACTTCTATAATGTGGATATGCTGAAAAACATAGTGAATGGAACAAATGATGTGATGAAGGTCAGCCATGGAAAACATGTATCTACTGTTTAGGAAGGCAACAGAAACAGGCAGTGTTATACAGCTGAGCCATGTTTGCCCAAGGTGTTGAGGAGGCCTTAGGCAGCTTATACTGGGAAGAATGTGAGAGAACCTGGAACGGAGAGACAGTTCCAACTCCAACTTGGAAACAGTTACAAGAGTTTATTAAACTCTTCAAACTAACTGTTAAAAATAGCATACAATGAAATAATTTAAAATAATGAACTGTCTTTCTTTTCCTTATCACTTGTTCTTGCTCCCAAGAAGTTTCAAATGTTCCTACATATAAGTTTTCTTCAACATCTTTATGTTTCCATATCCTGTGTTCTCCCTGCCATTTGTTAAGCTATTTATTTTAGATAGTTGAGGTTTTTTCTTGCCATAATCAACATGGACACAACGGACATGACTTACCATTCTCCTCTTGGACCATGGTGACATAATGGCCATTCTCCTGAAACTCTTTTGTCTTCAGCTCAAACCAGGAGGCACTGCACTTAACCACTGTAGACTTCTACTGTCCTTTTACTGAGTTATTTACCTTGCATGAATATTTTCCTCTTCTGTAGTCTCGTGATTGATCTTCTCTACGGGATACAGTAGCCTACATTCCCAAACAATGTATCAAAAGTTATTGTGTTCTTGATGTCTATTGTTGTAGGCTACATGGGCAAATATTTTGTTGTGAGCAATATCCTCAGCCCATGCCCATCAACTACCACAGGTTACTTTCTAGAAAATGCACCATCTAAAAGGTAGTAGGTTATTTTTTGTTTGATGGAATGCAGACCTGTATGTTGCTGTTCTGGAACATAGTTCTAGTGTATCTTGGCCACTTAAGGTTCTAACCATAAGAATTCTCTACTTAGATCTGTGTACCATTTTTTAGTTGGATTATTTTGGTTTGTTGATATCAAGTTTCTTGAGTTATTTATATATTTTGGAAAATGTCAGATGTAGGGTTGGTGAAGATCTTTTCTCATTATTTTGGCTGCCATTTAGTCCTATTTATGGTATCTTTTGCCTTACAGAAACTTTTCCATCTCATGAGGTTACATTTATTAACAGTCTTGGTTCAAATGTTATCGGTCTTCTACTCAGGAATTTGTTTCCTGTGCCAAGGTGTTTGAGATACTTTCCCACTTTCTCTTCTATCAGGTTCAGTGTATCTGGATGTACATTGAGGTGTTTTGTCAACATGGACTTGAGTTTTCCGTAGGGTGATAGATATGTGTCAATTTGCTTTCTTCTGCATGTCAACACCCAGTTACACTGGCACAATTTGTTGAAGATGCTTTCTTTTTTAAAGTGTATATTTCTGGCTTCTTTATCAAAAAATTAAGGCCATATATGTGGAATTTTGTCTGGATCATTGATTGGTTTGATTAATCAACGTGTCTGTTTTTATGTCAATGCCATATTTTTTTTTCTTATCGTTGCTATGTAGTAGAGATTGAAATCAGGGTTGGTGATACCTCCAGATTTTTTTTTGTACAGGATTGTTTTAGCCATTCTGGGTTTTTTGGTTTTTTTTAATATATAAAGCTTAGTATTGTTATTTCAAGTCTATAAAGACTTGTGTTGGAATTTGATGGGAATTTCATTGATTCTGTAGAGTGCTTTTGTTAAGAAGGCCACTTTTACTATGCTAACCCTACAGATCATTGAGCATGGGAGATCTTTCCATCTTCTGATAACATCTTTAGTTTCCTTCTTCAAAGACTTGAAGCTTTTATCCTAAAAGTTTTTCACTTGCTTTGTTAGAGTTCCACCAAGATATTTTAGATAATTTGTGGCTATTTTGAAGAGTATTATTTCTGATTTCTTTCTCAACCCTTTTATCCTTTGTATATAGGAGGGCTACTAATTTTTTTAAAGTTTATTTTGTGCCCAAACACTTCCCCCAAAGGTGTTTAACAGCTGTAGGAAACACCTGGTAAATTTTGGGGGTAGTTTATGTTTATGTATACTATCATATAATCTGTAAATAGCAATACTTTGATTTCTCCCTTTCCAATTTGTTTCCCTTTGATCTCCTTTAGTTATGTTATGTCTCTAGTTGGAACTTCAAGTTTCCTGTACTCTGTTGAATAGATAGCGAGAGTAGGCGGCCATTTCTTATTCGTGATTTTCGCGGAATTTCTTTGAGTTTCTGTCCATTTAGTATTATGTTGTGTACTGGCTTGCTGTAAATTGTCTTTGCTATGTATGTTACTTGTATCCCTGACAATTCAAAGACTTTTATCTAAGGTATTTTGGGCATCTAATAAGATGATCACATGCTATTAATCTTTAAGTTTGTTTTATGGTACATTGCATTGACATATATTTATATGTTGAACCATCCTTGCATCTCTGGGATGAAGCCTACTTGATCCTGGTGGTTGATTTTTGATGTGTTCTTGGATTCAGTTTGCAAGTATTTTATTGAGTAGTTTTGCATCAATATTTATGAGAGAAACTGGATGTAATTCTCTTTTCTTGTTGAGTGGTTGTGTGGTTTGGGCATAAGGGTCACTGTGGTCTCATAAAATAAATTTGACAGTGTTCCTTCCATTTCTACTTTGTGGAATGAGGAGTATAGGTACTAGTCCTTCTTTGAAAAGCCTGGTAGAATTCTGCACTAAAACCATCTGGCCCTGGACTTTTTTATTTGGTTGGTAAACATTTAATGACTATTTCTATTTCCTTGTGTGCTATATATCTATTTAGTTGTTTGTCTGATCTTAATTTAACTTTGCTAAGTAGTATCTATTGAGAAAAATGTTCATTTTGTTTTAGATTTTGAAATTTTGTAGAGTACAGGTTTTTGAAGTATGGCCTAATGATTCCTTGGATATCCTTGTTATCTGTTGATATGCCCCTGTTTACAATTTGGTTGTCTCTCTCTCTCTCTCTCTCTCTCTCTCTCTCTCTCTCTCTCTCTCTCTCTCTCTCTCTCTCTCTCTCTGTTTGGATTTGGAGTTGTCTTTTGTCTTCATTTTCTCAAATAACCAATTCTTTCCTTAGTTTCAATGATTTTGTAAGCTTTGTATGTTTCTGTTGTTGAAATCCAGTTTTAATACATGGTGTTCTGATAAAAATACAAGGGGTTATTTTAATTTTCTTGTATCAATTGATACTTGCTTGTAACGTAGTATATGGTCAGTATGAGAGACTATTCCTTGAGGTGCTGAGAAGTTTTTGTATTTGGGTGAAATGTTCTGTAGATAACTGTTTGGTCCATTTAATTCGTAATATCTATGACCTCCATTATTTCTCTGGTTAGTTTTTGTCTGGCTGACCAGTCCATTGGTGATAGTGGGGTTTTGAAGTCTCCCACAATTAATATGTGAGGTTTTATGTGTGATTTAAGCTGTAGTACTGTTTCTTTTACAAAATTAGTTGCCTGTCTTTTAGGCCATAGATGTTAAGAATTGCAATGCCATCTTAGTGGATTTTTTAACTGAAGACTATGAAATATCCTTCTTGATCTCCTGTTAATTTTCATTTGGAGTCTATTTTGAAAATCTATAGGAGCTGCTTCTTAGGTTCATTTGATTAGAAAATATTTTTCTTGCCCTATATTCTGAGGTAATGTCTGTCTTTGGTGCTGATGCATGTTTGTTGTATGCAGTAGAAGGATGGGTCATTTTTTCGTATTCATTCTGTTAGCCTGTGTCTTTTGAGAGGGAGTTGAGTCCATTGATCTTGAGAGATATTAATGGCCATTGCTTGTTAATTTCTGTTATTTTACTGCTAATGGTGGTGGTGGTATTACATATGTGTGTGTATTCCTTCTTTAGGTTTTACTCGTGTGAGTTTTTTCCTGTATTTTTGTGAGTGTAGTTTACCTTCTTGAGTTGGAGTTTTCCTTCTAATACCTCCTATAGGCCTAGATTTGTAGATAGATAATGCTTAAACTTGACTTTGTCATGGAATATCTTGTTTTATCCATGTATGATGATTGAAGGCTTTGCTGACTATAGTAGTCAGGGCTGGCATTCATGTTCTTTTAGAGTCTGCAATATATCTATTCAGGTCCTTCTGGCTTTTAAAGTTTCCATTGAGAAATTGGGTGCAATTTTAACAGGTCTATGTATATATGTTACTTGGCTGTTTTCCTTTGAAGTTTTTAATATTCTTTCTTTGTTCTGTATCTTTAGTGTTTTGATTATTACATGGTGCAGGAAAGTTTTTTCTGGTCCAATCTTTTGATGTTCTGTAAGGTTAGTGTGCCTTTATAGACATCCTTCTTTAGGTTAAGAAAATTATCTTCTATGATTTTATTAAATGTATTCTCTGGGCCCTTGAGCTGGATTTCTTCTTGTATTCCTATTTTTCTTACATTTTGTCTTTTCATAGTGTCCCAGACTTCCTAGATGTTTTATGTTAGGGATGTTAGGGATTTTTTTTTAGATTAATCGTTTTCTTTGACAGATGAAACTATTTCTTTTACTTTATCTTTACTGCCTGAGATTATTTCTTCCATTTCTTATATTCTATTAGTGATACTTGCATCTACAGTTCTCATTCACTTACCCAGATTTTCCATTTCCAGAATTCCCTCTACTTGTGTGGTGTTTTGTTTTGTTTTCTTTTGTTTTGTTTTTCGGGTCTTGAACACTTTTCTTTACCTGAGTTGTTTTTTTTTTACTTTCCTAATAGTCTTTAAAGAATTTATTAATTTTCTCAATTTTTTTTATCCTCTCCTGAATTTTTAAAGGGTTTTTTTCATTTCCAATTTGAAGGACAGCTCTCATCTTCATATATCTTGTGTGAATGTCATTTTCAGCTGCATCAGGATGTTCAAGTCTTGCTGTTATAGGAGAGCTGAGCTCTTGTGGTACCATATTGCCTTTTCTGTTGTTGATTGTGTTCTTACACTGACATTTAGGCATCTGGGTTTGGAATGGTTATAAGTCTAGTTGTTAATTCCTGAGTTTGTCTTTGATGGATGGATGTTTTCTTTCTTGGTTTCTCTTTACCTCTGGTCTTCTGGCTAGGAGTTCTGGTGACTAGCAAGTCGTTTAGCTTCAGTTGGGTGTCTCCCCTGGATTTTTGCAGCCTGCAAGATGTCTGAAGTTTGGGGCACCAATGTAGCCTCTGAGGTTCCAAGTACCAATGTGGTCTCTGAAGTTCTGGGTTCATGCCTGGTATCAGGGATTCCAGTATGGTGTTACCTTCCATACAGTATAAGTTTTCTGCTGAGGTTGTGGTGTGGGATACAGAGCTAAGAAGAGAGGTACACTTAGGGGTTGTTTGGCTAGCTTTAGGGAGTGTTCTGCCTATAGGCAGTGTTTTGCCTTGAGTCCTTTGAACTTGCCTGACCTCAGGTAAAACAGAAGTCTTCTGCGGAAATTGTGTCCAGAATATGCAGCCTCGTGAGGTGGGGGTGCAATCTGGCCAGAGCTATTGCACAGGATGTAAGGAGTGTTAGTGGGTGATGGGTGATGCCCGTTGTCTTATGTGGGAGCTTTCACATGTTTTTTATACTTTCCTTGACATATATTACCTGTAAAATATTTTTGAGTGGGAACAATGCTATTTCAATAAATTCACAAAATAAAAAACATAATTTATATTTCATAATACATGCTACTATGGAAATAACCATGACATGAGAAACACAGAAGTAATTGTCCTCAATTTTCTGAGGAGATATGCAACTACCTGGACCTTGGATGACTATAAATATTAAGAAATAAAAAATGAAGAGTACTTATCTTAAATACTGAGAATGCCAGTTTAAGCATACCTATGTATTTTAATTTTGTATATTCATAAAAACAACTGCAGATTGAGAGTCATTTCATTAACTGCTTTTCAAATTCATATAATTATGTCACTTAATATTTACATATTTATACATCATTATGACAAATATAATATTAAAACTTGTTTTCCTTGTAGGAATCAGTTTATATTGATTTTTATGTAAAAAATTTTAAAACAAAATTCGTCATTGTTATCAGATAAGGACTGTGGAAATATGACTCATCATTTTTAGACAGTTTTTAGGACTGGAGTGTCGCTCATAGACAGGGCTGGCTGAGCATTCCTGGAACTTTGGTCAACCTGCAGCACCAGAAAAGATATTAATAAAACTTTACTCTCTGTGTAGTATTCTTGAGTCTCACAAAAGCCAGGTAGTTGTATTAATAATGTCTATTCTAATGCCAATCACCCATTTAACACATATTCATTTCCTAGATGACACCTGTGATCTTTGCTCACAAAACTGGACTGCTTTTGGAAACAATTTCTATCAGGTTTTTCGGGAAATCAAAACCTGGGCAGACAGTCAGTCTTCCTGTAAGGAACTGAAATCTCATCTTGTGGAGATAGACTCCAAAGCAGAGCTGGTAGGTCACACACTCGTGCATTCCTGTTTTCTTTGTAACTGTTTTCAGTGAAAGCACTGGTCATGAAGACCACGGTCTAGCAAACTGAATGTTGTGGGAGGCTTCTGACAACTGCTTATGGCGATTTGATATTATCCTCACTGAGAAAACTGGAAGGATTCTGCAGCATTGAAATGTTTAATGCTGCAAGAAAACCAAAGGAGTAAATGAGCTCACACTGGCATGTTCTACTCAGCAGGCCTGTGCAAGCTAAAGCTGCTATTTAGTAAAGAAGGAGCAGATCATTCCTATAAGGGCAGCAATTGAGCGGCTGACACAGGAGGACCACCATGAGTTTCAGGCCATTTGGTTTATACAGTGAATTTCCAGGCCACCTTGGACTATGGAATGAAATTCTATCCTGAACTTTAAAAATATATATAAATTCTAAAAATTTTAAGACGCATATAGGAAAGAAAAAGTACTAGGATTTTACACTTAGTTATGGATTGTGATTTTTCTGTACTCAACAGGAAAACTTGCTAGTGTTTGGAATTGATGGGTGGATTCTGCTCAAAACCAATGAAACTGATGGGTCCTGGTTGTGGGAAAATGGCACTAAAATAGAGCAAATTCTGTAAGTATAATGTTTGGATAACGAGGGCTTTGCTGAGGGTGGTGGGATTGTTACATGCTTGTGTCCTGTCTGTATGTGACACAGAAGGGGCATTCAGAGAAAAGGAAAGATCTCTGATATAGAAGGAGCACTCTGTGGGGAGTAATAGAGAAAACATGTTCACACCAAGTAAACTCACCTTTGGAACATTAGTGTTTTTATTCTACTGGACTCCATGGAGACATTTGTACATCACTTTAGGGAGTTTGTAACTCTAATGCCTTTCACCACTTCCTCATTACTACTTTCTTTGACACTGTAGGATTGGCTTGTGCTTGATATCTTCAGTTAAGCTTACTGTTTTCCATTCCCATGGCTTTTTTTTCTCTTTGGCCTATACTTGTTTTAGCTAATTCTAACTTTGAGATTAAAAAATGCTATCTGCAGGGACCACCTCTCGATTTCTGATTTTGTAATTGTTTTTACACAGAATTAATGATTCAGAGAAGAAGAATCATAGTTGTCCTTATTTCAGTGGAAATCGATTTTATCCTACTGATTGTTCATCTAAGAAATCATACACCTGTGAGTTTAATATACCATGACACCTATTTCACTAGCACATTTTTATTAAACTATAAATGATAAAATATGTCTGAAACTTATTGGTAATCTACAAATTTTACACCTGAGCTTAGCTAAAAGGCTAATAAGTGATGACTTTTAAATTTTGAACATTTTTTACTGAACTGAGAAAATGTTGATTACTTTTTTTACATTATATATATTGTATTGAGAGTGAGTATAATTTATCTTGAGGATGATCACCACTCTGGCACAATTTTTATAGTTATGACTAAATTAGGTATGAAATACCATATATATTCAGTACCTTTGCAAACTCCAAGAGACTCAAAGTGATAAAAGGTTCCCATATCAGTTGAGTGGACTTTTTAAAAGTTATTTGTGTATTATTCCGGTATAAGTAGCAGGAGGTACCACAGTGCACTTGACAAGGTCAGAGGACAAAGTGGTGGAACTGGTTCTTCCCTTCAACTTTTATCAAACCAAGGTCCCTAGACTTTCATGGCAAGTGCTGCTACTCAGTGAACTATGTTGCTGTTTATTTGTTGTTGTTGTTGTTGCTTTATTTATGGTGTATTCTTACACTATCTTGTTTAGCCTAGTCCTTATTCCCAGGGATCAAACTTTTCTAATGTCTCAGTGTATTTATAGGTAGATCAGAGTTGTAGCCTACCTCATCCAATATAAGATCCCTAAGTAGCATACACCTTTTGAGATTGTTCAAGATATGTATTGATGATTGTGGGAACAAGAGACCTTGGCTGGAGCCCCACTTCCTCACAGGTTGCCTATCATTAGAGAACTTCATCCTTGAATCATCTGTAACCAGACTTCATGGCTACCGGGATTGCCATGGGCTACGCTCAGCAATACTTGGTGATGGATCTGTTACCTATGGAACAAGGCATGTTTGAACTCGGCATAAGGCCAGAATGCCTACCACTACTGCCACCACTCCCAGGACCCCCATTGACATAGGGCCTCCTCATCGATGTACCCATCCCCCGATCTGGGCCATAGCATTTTACCAGCCTTCCTCTGGTGCAAGGGTAACCAGCATATGATTTACAGTTACAATTTGATAAAGTTTACAAAGATATCATTCCAAGATCCATTCAGGAAAGCATTTAGAAGGCGCATTTGCACAGGTACATTAGATACACTCATTGAAGTTACACATGTAGCATGATAAAAATGTGAACAACAGGCTTGTTGCACTATCTACAGAGCATCAATTTGTTCCTATAGTGATGAACTTTGTTGATTTAACCTCAGAAGCCCCAGCAGAATATGCGAATTGAGTGCATTCTGGGTAGACAGAGCTTTGCTAACTACCAGCAAGGCTGTTAATGGTCTCTGCTTTGGTGGAAGATTGGGCAACAGCAATTCTGGCCACGGCTGCCACAATGGCTGATATGGCAATGGATATGACAACAGCGGCCTTGATGCCAAAGTCTCATAGGGTGATACAGGATGGTCTCCTCTTCTGAGTGTTGATCTCCCATCACCATGGGAATCAGGGAAGAAACCAGGATGATCAGAGCATGAGAATCTCCAGATGGCCAGCAATTACTCAGAACACAGGAGCTGGGAAATCAATTGAGATACTCCCTCCCTTCTCTCGTCCCATTCCAAGAAACAGAAAGGAAAGGAGGGAGCAAGCAGGCCATGCTAACAATAGAGAATTTTCCCGCCCCCATCTCAGTCTTGAGTGATGTTTCGAAGACAGAGGACCCATTCACCCGTTTTTGCCTTGTCGCTAAGAGACTCCTCCTCATCCTTACTAACAATGGTGCCTCTAGCTTCAGACAGGGTCTTTTCAGATGATTCATCCTCACTCCCTGCCTCTGAAAACAGGGAGGCTTGAGTCTCAGTGTCATGTAACTCTGAAAAAAACCTCTTTTGTGGCCTGACTACCTGGCAGAGGTGAACTTTATTTGTCAAAAGTGCACCCCTCACTAATCTCCATAAGGAGAATGTGGATGGGGCCAAGGATTCAGGTCCCTCTTTGTGTAAAAGTTTCTGAAGATCACGGTGAAACCCCTCCCAATCTGGGACATTTAAGCCTCCCCCAGTAATGAACCATGGACCTGCTCATTCAATATTTTAGAAAGCCTTCCAGGGTTTTAGCCTTGACTGTAGTCCCCTGTTCTTCAAGTGACTTTTTCACTTGATACTGTAATTCAAGCTTCCCGGGACTATTCTCCATCTTTTCTTTTCTTATTTTCCCCAATCTGTCCCTAGCAGGCAAATCCACTTACCTTGATTTCAGGTCTCAGTGGGACCTCCAATTGCCACTTCCCCATCAGCCTAGGAGAAGGCAGCTATAACAGATGTCTGCGACCACAGAAAAAAACATATTTATTAAAAACAATCCCGTGTCCATAAAGAAAAAGATGTTTACCGGAGCAATAAGTTCCTGATGTTTTCAGAAGGGCTCACCCATGGGAACACCCTGACCCTGACTTTTCCGATGACTAGCCGCCTCTTCCTGACCCCCCACCCCTGCCTCTGGTGTCAGGCTTTATAACAGCCGGAATAAGAATAAAGCGAGCTTCTTTCACCACCAACTGGTCTCTGTGTTATCAATCCCGACACACTCTGCAGATTCTCGACCCCAGGCTGCACTGGTGCAGCAGATGATTCTGCTTACGATAGCAAGAACATATTTAAAGGAAAACCAATAACTAACAAATGCAACTCAGTTTGAAAAGTTAAGAAGCTCATAGTCTGGATCTAGAGGGTTGCCCCAGAGGTTAATAGTGCTTACTGCTCCTGCAGGGACCACAAGTTCAATTCTCTGCAGCCACATCCGTCTCACAGCTGTCTGTAAATCTAGATCCCCTGGATCAGATGCCATCTTCACATTTCCTGAGCTCCTGCATGCACATAATACATATATAAACTCACATATGCATATACAGATATATTGAAGTCACCAATGCAATACAATATGGTCCTGACTCAATTTTGAGTTTGCTGAGACTGGGCTTGTATGTCTACACACCAACAACATCTACCATAGAAATGCAATGGAGGTGTCCATGGTCTGGATGTATTAACCAAAATAATTAATGTTTATACAAATGTAACATAAGTTAAAATAACTGAAGAAAGCATGATGCAAGTATAACTGTCATCCTGTGTCTAACACAATTACTAAGCTCTTCCATAAGTGAACATCTCAAGGATACTCTGATTCTCATCTAACATTGATGTAAATTATAGTCTTTGGGATTTTGCCTTTAAATAAGCTGTATCCCTGAGCTTCAACTTCAAGAAATGGGGGTTTATATGCTTATTCTTTGTTGTAACCTTAAAGGACTCATATTTTACTTGACTTAATATCTTTCTTGTATGAGTTATTAAAATATAAAATAATGAATCAATTGATAATATAAGAAACTCAGATTCTGGCTGTGGTTGTAAGATGATAAATTCTCTAGAGTGCATCTAACATTGCTCTTTCCATCATTTAAAATGTGACCTGGTGATGATGAGAGAAGAGATGAGAGAGCCTGGCAGAAAACAGAAACCACAAAGGGAAAACAAGAGAAAGTTCTTGGGCTAAAAGTTCTATTACTGAAAATATAAAGTTCAAATTTTTCAAATCTATGAAGAAACAATGGCTAACAGTTTTCCACATGGAATTCTAAAAACTGTTGTTTGCATTAAAATACAATAAGCTGTGAAAACATGAAGAAGAAATTTAGAAAGAAAAGCTACAGCTATAAGCACCATTGTCCTACTACTGGCACTTAGAGATGATGATGCTGGGGCTGGAGAAATGGCTTATTGTCTGGAAGCACTGATTGCCCTTCCTGAGGACAAGGTTCAATTCCCCAAACACAGCTTGCAACTGTATATGAGTGCAGTTCAAGAGGATCCAATACTCTCTCTAGTTTCAGGGGCCCCAGGAACAAACGTGATACCGATGAAGCCGAACTCCTATACACATGAAATAATGATGATGACAAAGATGATTATTCTAATAACTGTATATGGAATGATGATGATGACGACAAAGATGATGATGGTAGTGACTGTACATAGAATAATTATGATGATGATGATGATGATGATGATGATGACGACAATGGTGATAATAATGACTGTATATGGAGTAATGATGAAGATGGCTGTATATGGAATAAAACCAGAGAAATTTGCCATAATCAATAGACAATGATATAAATACTTTTCTATCAGAAACAAATAAATTAAAAGCCTATTCAGACCTCTGGTTTGTTGCACAAGACACTGGATGCTTTGAAGCAAGGGAACATGGCAGATGTACATGAGAGCCCACAGTTGGAAAGGAGGACTGTTGTGAAACTGTCTGCTGGACATTGCATGTGAAGGAACACTAGCCCACTCAAGCTTGTGGCTCATCCAGAACTTCCCCTTCTCCTCCAGTCCCTCTGCCTTGCTAAAAATCATTGGAATATATTCTGAAAGTTAGCCAACTAGGGTCTAGTCCCTTAATTGGCCACTTCCTCTTCTTGAGGTTGACAACCAAAGTCCAGGAATCAAAAGCCCCCCCCATTTGCTTCACCTAAATAACATGACAAATTAAAATAAAAACCTCATCCTAACACGAGATTTCACACTTGACCTTCATAAACTGCCATTTGCATATGTGCCATGTCCATCTCCCCTCTATCCAGAGGCAGCCTTTGTATCTCCAGATCAAATACTGTTCTCCCTTTTTCTTGTCCAATTCCCCTTCTCCCTCTTCACCTATTTCCTTTAGCACCACATCCTTGTCTATACTGACCCAGACCTTCCCCTCTCTTCCTCTTAAAAATTACACCTGCAAGGTCATTTGCTGCTGTTTTCTGCCTGATTCAGAACTTACCCACTTAATAAAGGATCTCTCTGTGACAACAGGTGTTTGGGTATGGTTTGTACTTAACTCAGTCTGAGAGGAAATCCCACTGTCCACTGTGTGGGGGTGGGGTAGTCTTCAGGAGTGCCATGACCTGGATAGGTCAGTAACACCTCCCCAACCCTTTTTCACATGCTTCAGTCCTCCTGGCACCTCATTCCCTCATCCAACAAGGGCTAATTGATAAGTCACCAACCCTGGCTATCTTAAACAGTCCCCAGTTTATGAGGTGACAGAAACTGTATGTCTGGCTATCTTAAACAGTCCCCAGTTTATGAGGTGACAGAAATTGTATGTCTGGTGTCACTATTGTGTCCTGGTGGAATAGGGAGATTATAATCCACCATTACCTTCACTGGTTGTATTGGACTTCCAAGGACTGGCTGCCAGTAATACGCATTCCATCCTGTGTAGTTTGGTAGGGGGTTTTCTCTTTCATTCTTTCTTCTTCAGGAATCCAGTGCCCTTTCCACTCTGAAAATTCTTGTCCACAGGTCCCAGGATTCTCTTACTATCCCACTGGGTTCCCCCTCTTGGTGACCAGAGCCTACCTAATGATGCCCTCCCTTCCAGATACTGATTCTTGGCTCTGAAGATACACTGGGACAACAGATATGTTCACCTTTGGCCCACTCCCACCAAGGTGATAGGTTCCACCACTCCATTCCAACTGACTTGCCTTTGGGATGTCTACTCCAGAATCTCAAATGCCTGCAACATGCAGACATAAAATCTCCTAACCTCATTAACTATAGTGCACAGGCTTGCCCTCTATATGCACCAGATAACCAATCTAAATGACTACTGCCCTCCCTGATGGTTCTCTGGATCCTAGCACTATTCAGGATCTTCACAGAACTTGAGAGCACACAGAATAACATAAAGACATCCTTTTGGGCTCTGCCCTTTCTACACTCTGTGCGACGCTTACATTCTCTAAATTCTACTATACTGTCTTGTTATCCTCTGTGCTGTTCATGTTCTGTTTAATCTTCTGTATGCTGAGCCACAGGAATACTGACAGCCAGACACTCTGGGCCCACCACCTGTTGTTCTGTCCCAACTGCCCCTCCTCCTCCATTCACCTGAATTCACCAAGGCCAGGCAGATCAGCCTCTGTGTCCTTGACTAAAAATTCCCCCTCCCCTACTTCCTCTACTCCACTCCATGGTGCTGCACAGCCTGGCCCAAACCCACAGCTTCTCAGGCCATGCCACCCAGGCCACAATTCAGTGGCTGTTACCATCCCCTCTGCCCACAGGTGTCAGAGTCCCCACCTCCTTCCTTCCAGGCTGCTTGAACTCATCAGTACAGATGCACAGAGCATATGAGACTTCCAAACACTCCTTAACAACCTGTCACTCTTTCCCCTCCTTGAAGCCCCACAGTGTCCCCAGCCCCTTAAAGTTCTACTGCAACAGCCTCCCTACCACTTCTCCAGGCCTCCTCCACTATTTGTAATCATCATCCTTCTTCATTAAACCTTTCCTTACTCCCCATTCCCAAAAGCCCCCTCCTTTCTGTCCATGGCTTCTCAAGCTCCCTTCCTTATGTGAAATTCTTCACTGTGGATAAACCAGTAAGCTACTGTGCAATTTACAGCCTGCGAAATCACCTCTTTGCCAATGCAACTTTCCCCCCCTTAATTTTCTTCTGTCCTGACACTGCTTGCCTACAGAATAAACAATTAAAGATAATTAACATGTAAGTTGTTATCAGTTACCACATAAATAATCATATTATGTATTTTTTTATTTTTAAATTTAAATTTCAATTAGAAATAAGGTTGCTTCACATGTCAATTCCAGGTCCCTCTCCATTTCCCTCCCCTCCTCCCGTGCCCTCCCACCAACCCCCCCCAATATCCCCTCATTTCCCAAGGGAGGGTGAGGCCCTCCATGGGGGTATCCATAGCCTGTCATTTCATCAAGGGCAGGGCCTAGACCCTCCCCCCAAGAGTCCATGGTGAGAGTGCATCTCTCAGTGTTGGATGGGAGCCCAAAGTTCATTTGTATACCCAGGATAAATACTGATCTACTACACAATGCTCAATAGATTACCTAGGCCTCCTCACTGACACCCACATTCAGAGGGTCTTGATCAGTCCCATGCTGAATTCCCAGGCATCAGTTTAGGATTCAAGAGCCAAGCCTTGTCAGGTCAGCTGTTTCTGGGGGTTAAACCAGCCCAGTCTTAACACCTTTGGTCATCAATCCTCCCTCTCTGTCACTGGATTTCTTGAGTTCAGCTCAGTGCTTAGCCATGGGAGACTGCCTGTGCTTCCATCAGGCACTGATTGAAGGTTCTGTTTCCCAGACTCTCTGGCCATGAGATTGTAGGCTGGTACTCCCCAGATCAATGTCTAAAATCCATATATGAGAGAGTATATATGCCATGCTTCTCTTTTTGAGACTGGGTTACCTCACTCAGGATGGTTTCTTCTACTACCATCCATTTGCCTGCAAATTTCAGGATTTCATTGTTTTTTTTTTCTGCTGAATAGTACTCCATTGTGTAAATGTACCACATTTTCTCTATCCACTCTTCTGTTGAGGGGCAGCTAGGTTGCTTCCAAGTTCTGGCTATTACAAGTAATGCTGCTATGAACATATGGAACAGACATCCTTGTTGTATGAATGGGCATATTTTGGATATATGCCTAAGAGTGAAGTTGCTGGGTCT